TGACCTGAGCCGAAGTCGGACGCTTAACCAACCAAGCCACCCAGTCGCCCCTACTTTTTATGCATCATGAAGTGGATGAATGATATATGGTGAGGTCAGAAATATGCCTAAGAACAGACTAATTGTCTCAAAGGATTTGCTAGATTCTACTTTTACTTTTAAAAAGGGGGTGATACGAGTGAGAATAGGTATATAGTTTGTAAATTAAAATGGCATATAATGTGTTCATTTCTGACTACTTGGGAGGCTGCAGACAGCAGAAGAGGATCTGTCACATTGTTCAGATCTTCCTGTGACGATCTGTGCCAGTGTCTGGTCAGCTGACACAGACATGGGCAGAAGGCCCATCTCTTCAAGGAGCCTACAAGGACATACTGCATGGACAACAGGTTGGCCAGAGCCCAGGATGGGCCAAGATGAGCAGGGCATGCAAACAAGGTTGCTGAGTGTGAGACACTGTCCGCTGGCTCCTGGGTCACCCCACAGCAGCTGACATGCTCCTGACAGGCTAGTCGAGCGACTACACCACAGGTGTGCCAGGTGCTGTAGGATGGCCAATTCACCCTGTCAGCCCTCATTTTCCTAGCCACTTTCCAACTTGAGGTGGCTCTGGATCCGGTTCTGGGCAGTGAAATGTAAGCACACGTCAGGCAGTTGGCTAGGGCTTCTGGGAAAGCACTTCCTGCTGAAAAGGGTCACTCTCAGCTGACAGACCCCTCCATCCTTCATCATTTTTCTCATTCCTGCCAAGGCCACAGCCGTGGTACCTGGAGGTCCAACTCCGATCTTGAGGCCATGAGGTAATAGAAAGCATAAGGATGACGACAATGTGCCAAGAAGGTGGCACGGAGAGGACAGAAAATTCCTGAATCACTGACATTTTTGAACAACTACATCAGCCTTGGACCACCTATCTCCAGACACAATTAGAACCACATAAATCCATAATTATTTAAGTCACCAGAGTTGGCTATTTGTTAAGATCAAATGTGCTCCTAATTGAGGGGACAGATTTTCTGGTGACTCTCTGAGATTTTTTTTTTTTTTTTTTTTTTTTTTTTTTTTACCTGAGAGTAAATGATTTTCCTGGGAGAAATAGTTTTTTCTCCTATTAGTCACTAACCGTAACACACATTCAGAATCGCCTCACTAGAAAAACATAACTGCCACACACCTTGTTGTATGGTCCTAGAGCAGACTAAGAACTGTGTAAATAACTCTGCATCTTGAAAAGAAAGGAGTATAATCACATTTAAGCTAGGAGAAACCAAACCAAAACCCCAAATCATGAAAATAACATACTTCTGGCACTCTACCTTAGAAATGTTACTTGAATGACTCATGGAATGTCCCAAAGTCTTCTCATTCTGCAAGAAAACCAAACAGGTGTTAAGTATCAAGAAAATGAAATAGGTGATTAAAATGTGCACAGACCATTAATCATAATAATCCTGGCAATCATTCCCTCAACTAGAATTTGCTGAGCGTAAAGTACTATGTGCCAGCAAAAATGAATAAAACAATAGTCCCTGCCCTAAAGGAACTTAAGTTACCAAGAACAGGAATTTGGAATTAACAAAAAATAAGAGGGCTACAAGTGTCTTAAGGCACATTCGAATGGAGGTTCAGAGGTGAGAAATAGCATGTTCAGTTTACTGTGATGTGGTCCATGCTATGAGGAGCCACTGTAGGATGAGGAAGAAGAAAGCAGGACAGCTGACACCACCCAGGTTGTCTGGCTGTCAAGTGTTGAGTACTCAAAAGGGACATCCCACCACTCACATCTGTTCCCTCAAGCCTGTTTCTCCTCCTGGGTTAGAGAAATCTGAGAATCATGCTAGCCTCCTCCATCTTTAGTCACAAAGTCTTATAACAAATTCTTCCTCTGTAATGTCTCAGTCTCCAACTCATTTGCATTTCTACTGTCAATGCTTTAGGTTTAGGTTCTCTTCATTTTCACTTCGAATTCTTGAATAACCTACCTTATCTTTCTCCCTTGAAAATGACCTCCCCGACACAGAACTGCTATTCACTGGATTGTATTGTGTCCCCCCAAATCCGTATGTTGAAGTTCTAACCCCTAGTACTCAGAAGGTGACTGTATTTGGAGATAGGGTCTTTAAAGAGGTAATTATGTTAAAATGAGGTAATCAGGGTGGGACTTGACCCAATATGAATGGTGTTCTTCTAAAGAAGCTGAAATTCGGACAAAGGTACACACAGAGAGAATACCAGGTGAAGACATGGGAGAAGGCAGGGGCGGCCATCTGCACGCCAAGGAGAGAGGCCTCAGATGAAACCAAACCTGCTGACACCTTAATCTTGGACTTCTAGCCTCTAGAACCATGAGAAAATTAACTCCTGTTGCTTAAGCACTCACTCCGTGGTGATTTTGTTATAGCAGCCACAGCAAATGAGTATAGTAATCTTCCACACTATCATTTTCTTTAAAAAAAAAAAAAAAAATCAGTGAACATTCCAAATGTAAGTCTGATTTTCTAAAAATAAGAAAGTAACTCTTCTTGATTCCTACTGGCCTTGCTCTAAGCCCAAATGAGTAAAATAAAACAAAACAAAAAAACTATTAATGGAAGAGATTATCTCATTTCCATTTTTAAGATTACATATTCTCTATTCATCTCACATTTCACAATAACCATAGGGAAGACTAGAAAAGGCTGAGACACAATTAGCAGGTAAAATTCTTTTGGTCAGTCAGAAGTACAAAGGAGCCAGTAGATCTAAAACTGCTTTGAAAGAGTAGATTCCATGCCACCAAGGCTCCGCTAAAAGAGAACTAGCAATCAAGAAAGTGTTAACTTTCCCCTTTCCCTCAACCCACCAAATTACATACTGCCTTGACTTTGGTATACACTTGGCTTTTGAACACTCAACATCCCTAAAATGTTAGCACAGAAACATTTCAAGAGCTCCCAAGTGGCCTGCCAGCTGGCGCTTGTTTTGACAATGTTGTCTTGTCTTCACAGCAATGTAAATGTGCAATTTTTTGATTATTTTCTATATATTCTTTTCTTATTTTATAAATCTGAGTGAAAACAGAAGTTCAAACTCTTGAGTATAATACAATACAGACACTGTTACTAAGTGCATAGCCTCAATGGAATGTTTCTTGGTCTTAAGCAAGTCAATCAGATAGTTACAAAAGAAAAGAACAAAATTATAAAGTATGGTTAAAGTGTTGGCAATGTCACCAAAGACTATTTCTAAGAGACCAGATGAATTAGGAATTTCATTCATTCATCTTATTCACGCCTTCACTCACGGGGAATGGAGAGTCTGTCCACAGAACAGGTAAATCTGTAACCATTCAAGTTTCATTCATGAGTCAAGAATGTACTATGGACAAACACAGGGCACTGCTGTGAATCCAGGCTTAGAGGCTCATCTACTGGCAATTTACCACTAAATGTTAATTTAGTTTACTAAACTAAAACAAAGATACCACACGTCCTGGATTATCGGTACAGAAAACCAATACAACTGCTATGACATTACCCACTACCTTTCAAGAAATGGCCAATTTAACACTACCTGGAAATCCACAAAGACGTTCTGAGGTACTAAGAAAAGCAGTAATTCCTTTTTTTGACACTTTTTTTTGACTGACTTTTTTTGACACTTACCATTCCATAGACAGGGTTATTAGGGTGGGTCTCACTGTTAAGCTAGGTAACTTTATAAATCCAGACTGAGATCGAAAAGTTGCTTATTACCTTATGAACTTGAGAAATAAATTTAATGATATAAGCCTGTGCCCTGTTTCCCTTGTTAGAACAATTCAACTAACCTGAATTTAAGTAAATATTTTTTAAAAGGCTTATAAAAAGTTAAAAAAAAAAAAAAAGAACAATTCAATATTTTACACTGGTAAAAATCAAACAACTTAACCAGCCCCAGCAGATACAGATGTTTTAAAGACTGAATTCTGTCAATATTTAGAATTGCTTCTCCACTGCCTGGCAGATTAACAATTCAGTTCCAACAGACCATTGTAATTTCCCTTAAATGCTGCTACATTTATTCGGACTTACTGAAAATCTAAGAAGTTCAGGACCATAACAGAACTATTTTTCAGGAAGCAAATCCCAGCATGCATTCAAACCAGTGACTCATTCATTCCATACTTATTTACCATGCGACTACCACATGCAAACAACCATATTAGGCACAAAACACGGACAAAAATGAATCTCGCTCCTAGGCCTGTTCTAATGACGATGTCACCACAGAACTGCTTTGAAATTGTGTTTTGATGAGAAATATACAACCGGGGGGAAAATGAACAAAAACATTTTTAAGAACGTTAAAAAGCACATCCATGAATTATAGCAGGGTACAATGGTACGCTTCGGAATAAAAAGAAGTAAAGTTTACCAAACATCAATGTTAAGAACGGGAATTAGGCATACCAAAGAGAAAAAGAGTTCCATTCCGGTTTAAGCCAAAACTAAGCTTCAATGCCCAAGTGATACAGACTTCAGCAAACTATTTTTATAAATCTTTAATATGCTTAGTCACCACTTAATGGGTCCACCACGTTGTAATCCTGGGAGAGAGAAAAGCCTCACTGCTGGTAGCAAAAACTGTTACCTTCTTTCCTCCGAGAAGGCACCAGGTGATGCCACACTGTGATACCACCCGCTCCCCTGGCCTTCTCTCCTCTCCATGTGTCTCTGGTGGGCTCTTTTTGCCTACGTTAAGCAAGAGCTCCTCAGAACACAGTTCCATATCCTCTTCTCATTTGTGGTCTCCCTTAGACCAGAGCTTCTGAAACTTTGTGCACTTGAATCATTTAAGGACTTTAGTAAAAATGCAGATTGTGATTTGTTAGGTTCGAGGTGGGTTGAGATTCTGCATTTCCATAAGTTCTCAGGTGACTCCCATGCTACTGGTCCCCAGACTACACTTTAAGATGCAAATTTCATTCCAAATCCTGGGCCAGCATAATCCATAAAGGCTATGATTCATTTTTTTAATTGAAGTATAACAATATCATTTTTTTTCAGTTTTTTTAAATATGAAATTTACTGTCAAATTGGTTTCCATACAACACCCAGTGCTCATCCCAAAAGGTGCCCTCTTCAATACCCATCACCCACCCTCCCCTCCCTCCCACCCCCCATCTACCCTCAGTTTGTTCTCAGTTTTTAAGAGTCTCTTATGCTTTGGATTCATTTTTTTAAAAAGCAAACCATGACTAATATAAAAGTGAATTTCTGCATACAATATGGCAGTGAGCTCACAACTGAGTTAATACAAATAAATCAATCAGGAAACTGACTGATACATACACTGGGAAAGGAGTCTGAGGGTGTGAGAAAGAGAAGTTTTATTAATGTAAGATGTTACCAAATCACAAAGATAAAGAGAAGCTCTGTTGAAGAATAAGGGACATTTCACAACTTAATCAGTCCTGTCAATGGCGTTTTCCAAGTCCATGTGTGGCTCCAATAGCATGTACCTTGAGGGTAGAACAGAGATGCAGAGCCCACAGAGACCAAATACGCCCTAGAAAGTAGAAGCCAAGAATTAACAAGAAGACAATGAGGTGAGATGTCTAAGCAAGTTTTAAGGATTTTGTATAAAGGAGTCAAACAATTAAACTTCATGTGGGAGCTTCCCTGAAACTCTGACCAGGACCAGTGATTAAAAACACAAGAAACAAACAAGGAAAAAACAAAACAAAACAAAAACACTCTGTGTAACAGATAACTATGTATCTACCCAATACTCATCCCTGCCAACAGAACAAATTTGTTCCGAGCAGGAATGGACCCAACCCAAAGCTCTCACTTTCTCACTCTCTCACTCTCTTTTGCAGTTAAGGCTAAATATGTAAGAAAGTTCTCCATAGACATTAAATTTGAGGTTTTCTGGGAGAACATTTTGCTTTCCTGATATAGCCATTGCTCCTTTCTCCAGCATTCCTCCTTTCCTCAGTCACCCTGGAATAAAGATAGCATGCCAGGAGGTGCAGCAATCACGGTGGGACAGTGAGGAGAAAAAGTATACACACAGGTCTCCAACTTTTTAGTCTTAGGGCACCTTTACAATGTAAGTTACTGAAGACTCCTAACATTTTGAGTATGTGGGTTATATATATTTATATTTTCCACATTACAAATTAAAACAGGGGCACCTGGGTGGCTCAGTTGGCTAAGCGTCTGACTTTTGATCTGGGCTCAGGTCATGATCTCATGGTTCACAGGATCAAGCCTCACGCCAGGCTCTGCATGAATAGCACAGAGCCTGCTTGGGATTCTCTCTCTCTCTCTTTCTCTCTCTCTCAGCCTTCCCCACCCCCACTCATGTGCTCTCCCTCTCTCAAAATAAAACTTAAAAAAAA